GTCTACAACATTAACTTATTTACAGAAGTGCCACCGGTCATTTTTTACGTGGGATATTCGAGGGTCAGACGTCTAAAGGGTGACGTTAAAGGCCTTTTATGCACTAATGTTACTCCCTTTTTAATTCTTTTCCTTTTAAATCAACAATAAACATCCAATTCCTTGGGCATGTGACTTATTATTCGTTATCCGAACCCAAAGGTCGCTCCCTTTTTTTATTTTTCCTTTTTAAATTCAAATAGAACGTCCAACTCTAGGGGGCTTCGACGTGAATGGTTGTGAGCATTAATGTTGTGCTATTACGAGAGGTTTTAAATTGACTCTATAAATATTATCCTTAACTCTATACAATTGCATAGTTTGATCGTTTTTGAATGATTCATTTTTTAAGTTTTCCTGGAGTTGTTTTCTCCGAAATCAGATCCACTGATTCTATAGAAAACAACTTCAAGAAACTTAAAGATTGAATCATAGATACAATGAGACGTCTACTTAATGATGATAATGTTGATAGTAAGAACCGAAGAGATTGACATCAATCATTGGCACCACTCAACGTCTACTTTATATTGGAAAACGCAGTTGGTTGGACTTGATAAATGTTGTGTTAGAAACGAAGAGATCCACGTCATATACTGACACCACTCGACGTCTAGGTATACGGGAAAACGTAGTTGGTTGGGCTTGTAAATGTTGTGTTAAAACAAAGAGATACACGTAAAATATTGACACCACGCGACGCCCACGTTATTTGGGAAATACATAGGGACGTCGTTTTCCTTCAGTATTCAACGTAAAATTATTTGAAGGATTTCTAAAAGAAATCCAATTTTACAAAACGTAGGTTCATAAATGGAAACGAAACAAAGAAAAAACATAATAACACTAAACATAGGAAAAAAATGGAAATCAAAGGACGAAAAGATCCACGGGATTGTTAAAATGTAGAAGGATTTTTGTGAATGGAGGTTGTAGCGTTTGGAAAGGGTGCAAAATCCAAATCTCTCAACCTTTTTCTTTTGATTTCTATCACTCTTTCAAGCTCTTCACCATGAAAAAGAATCTAAGCACAAGGAAATTACTTGCATTTGTGAACTTGAAAGAGATGATAGAAAAACAAAGAAAAGCATAATAACACTAAACATACGAAAAAAATGAAAATCTAACCACGAAAAGATCCATGGGATAGTTAAAATATAGAAGGACTTTGGTTAATGGAGGTTGTAGCGTTTTGAAAGGGTGCGAAATCCAAATGTATCAACCTCTTCTTTGTGTTTCTATCACTCGTTCAAGCTTTTCAACAGGACAAACAATCAAAACCACAAAGAAATGACTCATTTTTGTCACCTTGAAAGAACAGATTCACGTCAATTATTAACAAAATTGGACGTCTGCTATAGAGTCTGTTTTAAATTCATAAGTGTTAACATTTTCCTTTGGTTTTCTACGATGCCTTAATCATTAACAAAGAAATGTCTTCGTTTAGTAGAGGAATTGATAACAAACCAAAGGAAAAAGTTAACATGAATTTGGTTACGGAAGTTCTGTAGTTTAGTGAAGGAGGAGTAGCTTTTTGAAAGGATGCAAAATCCAAATATATCAACCTTTTCCTTTGGTTTTCTATACTCCTTCAACCATTTTTGTGTCCTTGAAGGAGATAATAGAAAACAAAAAGAAAAAAAATAACAGATGGAGTTCATAGCAGAAATTTTATAAATGGATGTCTACAGGTTATCTAAGGCTCCGAAACTGTATTTATAGAAAAAAAGAATGACTGTTGGGAAATGCCTAAAATCGGGTGACCCTTGGCTTCAATAATAAAAGGTAGTTCGAAGGCAAAGGTCGCTCCTTTTTTTCTTTTTCCTTTTTAAATTTCCATAGAACGTCGAACTCTAGGGGACTTCGACGTGAAAGGTTTGTGAGAATTCATTTTGTGTTGTTACCAGAGGTTTTGAATTGACTCTATAAATATAATGCGTAACTCTATACAATTGCACAATTTGGTCTTTGTTGAATAATTCATTTTTTAAGTTTTCCTGAAGTTGTTTTATCCGATGGTGTAAAGAAAAAATTAAAAACATAATTTCTGGCATAAAAAAGTCGAACGCAAAGAAGAATCTCAATAATAAAAGAGAAAAAATAATAAAAAAGGAACTAAATAATAAAACGTCGAAGCCAGTATAAAATGACGTTTTATGGGTTGATTTAAAAGAAAAACAAAAGTATAATTGTTGGCTGTAATATACAATGTCCTTCTTTTGTTACGGTGGACGTCATATTAATTAAATCAATATTTAATATTTATTTATTTTGTATTGGACGTCAGTTGTTTCCTTGTGGACGTTATGTGATTACGACCATCACGTCCAACCCCAACTCGCACGACGTTCTATATTGGTTTAAACATCGAGCCCATAAAGTTGGAAACGTTCTGTTCGGTGTATAAGAGAAAAGAAATAAAGAATAAAGAAGGGATTCACTTGCTGGCATATAAAACATCGCATATTTGTCATGGTTGACGTCAAATGTGGGTAGGAGTAATATTGACGGGAAGCAAACCACTATTTCGGTATTTTTTTATTTTGAATTAAACGTCAGATGTTTTTTAAGTTGACGTTATGTGATTCTAAGGTCATTGTTTTACGTCAATCTGGGCCTTTTTTGACGTTAATACATTTTAGACGGCGAACTGTTTTAGTAAATGACGTGGAGCGATTAAATTTATTTACGAAAAAGCCATTGATCATTTTTAACGTTGGATATTGAGTGGTTGGACGTTGAACGCGTGACGTTATACACGATTTTTGCACTAGTGCATGCAACAAATACGACTTTTCTTATCACTTTTGTTGTTTTTGAACGTTGAGCATTTTATGTCATTTAATGCTTGCTCAGAACAACAAAGTGCGTTTTGAATTTCTACCGTTAGGTAGCATTTTGCAATTAAGTTATTTTCTGAAGATACCAAGCGTATATGTATTCTTCATTATAGGATGAGGTACTTGTTNGATGGAGTTCATAGCAGAAATTTTATAAATGGATGTCTACAGGTTATCTAAGGCTCCGAAACTGTATTTATAGAAAAAAAGAATGACTGTTGGGAAATGCCTAAAATCGGGTGACCCTTGGCTTCAATAATAAAAGGTAGTTCGAAGGCAAAGGTCGCTCCTTTTTTTCTTTTTCCTTTTTAAATTTCCATAGAACGTCGAACTCTAGGGGACTTCGACGTGAAAGGTTTGTGAGAATTCATTTTGTGTTGTTACCAGAGGTTTTGAATTGACTCTATAAATATAATGCGTAACTCTATACAATTGCACAATTTGGTCTTTGTTGAATAATTCATTTTTTAAGTTTTCCTGAAGTTGTTTTATCCGATGGTGTAAAGAAAAAATTAAAAACATAATTTCTGGCATAAAAAAGTCGAACGCAAAGAAGAATCTCAATAATAAAAGAGAAAAAATAATAAAAAAGGAACTAAATAATAAAACGTCGAAGCCAGTATAAAATGACGTTTTATGGGTTGATTTAAAAGAAAAACAAAAGTATAATTGTTGGCTGTAATATACAATGTCCTTCTTTTGTTACGGTGGACGTCATATTAATTAAATCAATATTTAATATTTATTTATTTTGTATTGGACGTCAGTTGTTTCCTTGTGGACGTTATGTGATTACGACCATCACGTCCAACCCCAACTCGCACGACGTTCTATATTGGTTTAAACATCGAGCCCATAAAGTTGGAAACGTTCTGTTCGGTGTATAAGAGAAAAGAAATAAAGAATAAAGAAGGGATTCACTTGCTGGCATATAAAACATCGCATATTTGTCATGGTTGACGTCAAATGTGGGTAGGAGTAATATTGACGGGAAGCAAACCACTATTTCGGTATTTTTTTATTTTGAATTAAACGTCAGATGTTTTTTAAGTTGACGTTATGTGATTCTAAGGTCATTGTTTTACGTCAATCTGGGCCTTTTTTGACGTTAATACATTTTAGACGGCGAACTGTTTTAGTAAATGACGTGGAGCGATTAAATTTATTTACGAAAAAGCCATTGATCATTTTTAACGTTGGATATTGAGTGGTTGGACGTTGAACGCGTGACGTTATACACGATTTTTGCACTAGTGCATGCAACAAATACGACTTTTCTTATCACTTTTGTTGTTTTTGAACGTTGAGCATTTTATGTCATTTAATGCTTGCTCAGAACAACAAAGTGCGTTTTGAATTTCTACCGTTAGGTAGCATTTTGCAATTAAGTTATTTTCTGAAGATACCAAGCGTATATGTATTCTTCATTATAGGATGAGGTACTTGTTTAGGTCATTGTAACACCCAAATTTTTGGGATGAGTAAAAATTGAAATTTTAAAATATAATATCATTGCAGAAATCCAAATTCCATATAACTCTTTACAATCAACCAAAAATAGATCATAATTCCAATTATTACAAAATAAAATTTCCATAAAATAGTTTATTTTAAATAAACTAGCAAATTTCCCCAACTCTCTCAATTTGCTCGTCATGTTATACTACATTTGAATTATTTGCATGATCATCTGCTCCCGTATAACTATCATCGCAGGTGGAACCACAACCACAAACTGAGGATCAATCATAATAAGAATAATAATATAGCTAACAAATGCTAAATATTCATCACAATTATAAACACAATAACAACACACCAATAACTTAAATTCGATCACACCTCCTCATCACAAATCAGTAATCTATTTCCTATACACTACTATACCACCTAATCATCATAACCAATTCAGTACGAGTCACACGACATCTTTTTCCCATATCAGACGTTCAAAGAGAACATTTTTCCTACATCACATAGCCAATAAAGAACCTCTTTCCTGCATCACACGACCAACAAAGTCATCAGTACCCAAATCATCCTCTTTCCGCATCACACGGATGAAGAGAACCTCTTTCCTGCATTGCATGACCAAAAGAGTCATCCATACTTAAAGTCGAATTTTTAAGAAGATCAAATGTTTATTTCAAACTATTATGAAAGTTTGACGTGGGCCATAATGTACTACAAATCTTGCACGCTAAAATGTAGGAAAGGAAAACTAAAGTTAAAACGTTTTCTATACAAGACCACAAATAGTAAGAAGAAAATTTAATCACTAATACATTTAAGAGTACTATTCTTTAAATGGATACACTATAAGGAATTCCTTTCGCAGTGAGTCCAGATTCTGAAAATGGTTTCAATAGCTCATAAGGTACTACTCCAACACCATGTCTATTTTTCAAATTGCTATCTTTATTTCTTGAGTCTATGATGCCTTCGATTTCCTTCAGTCTCCTATTGAACCTTTCAAAGGCAGCCTTTATGGTTGGGTCCTGAGCCCATGATGGATTCATGAATTGCCCAATATATTCTTCATCTGTGGAATGGTATGATAATACGTTAAAAACTAACATCATTGTTGTTGCTTGGATTTGTGATGGAAAACTCTCCAAAAGAGTTTGCTCAGGTTTGTTTAGAAAATTTTCCCACTCTTCCTTTGTAGGGTCTTCTGTTGGCATTTTGTTTCTTATAATATTAGGTCGATTAGGAAAATAGCCCGCATAAGTATATTGGCCAAAGTTCACAGCTGCATGATGAGCAGATGCTATCCAAGCTATGGTGGTGATGATGTCAATAAGGTCTTCTGGTGTTTTAAGATTAGGCCACCATGGTTCCTCAGATTTGTCTCCATGACCAACTGTCCTAATTTCTGTCCACCATGCTTGGAGCTCTTGGTCGGATTGTATGATGCTTGGGGTTGGATAGTAATGGTTGACATAGTCACTGACCCACTGTTTGATGGCATCCCATATAAGAAGACCATCATTAGCAAAAGGGTAGTCTTCAATTGTTAGCTTTAGGCCATGTGGTGCATTAGGGTCTACTTCTGCCATTCCTCTGAAGAGAAATTAGTTAGAAATGTAGATGAATGCTTTATGCATTTCTAAACTGACAAACACTAGAAAATCAATAAGCATCTCTATTTTTATTTACCTATCAATAAGATCGTTAGGAAGTGCTTGCAAATCGAACTGCCAAAGTTGATCATATGCTACCGAGCTTAACTCCATTGAGTATTTGTTAGGTGAAAATGATTTTTCAATGATCCCATTTGCATTTATAAGAATTTCACGAGCAAATGCATTGATAGTAAGAGTATATCTCAGATGTGGATGCAGTAATTTGTATATTGGATGCATGGCGCTAAGTTGCCTATTTGTTGCAATGACAAATGGTTCCATGACAGCATGAGCTCTTAACCTGAAAAAAATTGACAAGTTAGATAGAGTAAGTTAGCATCTTTTATGGTGGGTTTTTCATTAGAGAAATAGATATTTGAATCTTTTATTTTATATACTGTTGTTCATACTCATTCGTTCTCAATGTAGAACAAGCTTAAACATGGAATCCTAACATCGTAAAACTTTCAACTTTTCACTGCTTATTTACCTGATTAAGTCAACATATGTGAAGCTGCAAGGTATAAAGAGAATGAATGACATGCTTATATATACTCACCAATGATTTAGAAGTTCATGAGTACCAGCATCATGAGCAAGAACATGAGCTTTGGCAAGCCTCCAAAGCCAGAGATTGGTTGAATGAGAAATTGAATGAGAAGCAGGTGTGAAGACTTGCTTCCATTGTGGCTTACCATCCATAGGTGGCCTTGTGAGTTCAATAGCCAGTGGCTTCAATGTGCCTTGTTTGGTGAGGAAGAATAGCGTCCTTGACCCATAGAGCGTGGTTCCCTCAATCTCTCTCACTTTGCTTACGTATGGTAAGAATAAATCATGATAGTCTAACATGTACAACTTCTTCTCTCTAATGGCCTACATGTATTCAAAGGAAACAACTTTTACGCAACATTCTAAGTTTAACAAAGTGAAGAATGTTGGTTTTATACCTCTTCTATTGTGCCATAACCAATTATTTGTGGCTCTATGACTTCTGCAGTGAAAGCTGATTCTGGTGGACCATAGATTTGGGATTCATGTTTACTTCTCAGAGGCCATTCCTACATATATCAAGAACAAAACATTGAGAGCATAGATTGAATGATGAACATATGTAACAAATTATATATTGTAACTCCTCTTGCCTTGACCAATCGGATGTTTTGTGGGTTCGCTCCAGCCAAAGTCTCCCTAGCAAACTCCTCATCTGAAAACCAAAAGAATCTGTCCCCTGCATTTCCCAAACTCACAATCATCAAGAGAAACTTTTTCACTTTGTTGTATCATTCGGTGTTAGGTAAATTATATTTCAACTACTTGAACTTTGGATCACTACAGTATCCCGAGTTCCCAATAATGGTGATAGACACATAAACTTGGATTCACCTCTCATTCTATTTACTAGTTTCATTTTGGTATTTAAGGAAAAAAAGGTTGGATATATTTTTTATTCTCAAATTATAAAAATAATATATGTTTCATCTTTAAATTAAATTATAAAATATTTACTTTTAATATTTTATGAAAATAATATAATATATTTTCTTCAACATACAAGAAGTGAAATAAATTATAATATAATATTCAAACGTTATTTTGTTAGAAATAACAATTTTTTCATCGTAATTCAAGCTTATAACATTATAAAATTTTGTATTAAAAATTATGCGTTTTTTCTTTTGATCAAGACATAGCTTACTCTACTAACAATTCTTTTGGTTCACTAGTGTTTTCAAGGTGCTAACGGTACACATGTAATCATTTGTGCTTTATATTTCACTTTTTGAGATGTTTTTATGTGTTTTTTTCTATCTGAATTGATCTTAAAATATTACATCACATTATATTTTCCAACATTATCACCAATAAAATTATCTCTCTACCATTTTTGTCTTTCACTGTCGAAAAAAAAAATATTCCCAACTTGGGTGGATTTTGCATCTTGAGAAAAATAAAGGACCATTTCGGCAAATAAGTCAATAAAATATAGTAAAACTAACAAACAAGATAAATGACAAAAGCATAAATAACTTGAATTAAATGAAGGATCTTTTTTGCAAAAAATAAACAAAAAAAAATTAGTGAAATTATCAAATAAAGATGAATGACAATTTTGAGTGAGTTAATCATTGACTTGCTTCCAAAATTTTGAAATTATCTTCCACCCATTCAACATGATAAGAGGTTGACCATGCATTGGGAAGATGTTGCTCTCACTAATAAGATGATATCACTCTAAAAACTAATAAGATGATATCACTCTAAAAGATTTCTTACCAGTGAAAGTATCTTATGTGTATATAAACCTATGTACATCTCTTATTTTATCCGATACGGGACTTTATTTGTACCCAACACAATAATATTGTGTTTTTTAAGAAAAATAGTCCATGGCATTAACTCTAATGACAAAATATTGATTAAAGTTTATGCATTTATTGAATATTAGAGGTAGATTTGTATAAAAACTTTGTAAAATGCAATACTCTAACATGATATGTAAAGCAAGTAATTCAATAAGCAATTATTCAACAAAAAGAAACTTAAAAATAAGCACTTGTAGTATGACTATATAAATGTTCTTACTTTTAACTGTTTCTGGGGTATCAAAGCGCAGAAGGTTCTGGCTATCATTAGCAACCTTGATCAACCTGGGAATTAAACTTTGGAGGAAATTTAGACCACTGTCTTTAAGAGCTGGCAAGTGAAAACCTTCTTTGTAGATCGTGTCTATGTCTTCGAAGCTTCGAAATCCAAGATCTTGGTCAGTGAGAATTGCATCTAAGGATTCTAAAACTGCACTGATTCCTGAGCTTATTGTGTTCATTGTGAACTGTGACTCTTTTGTATCAGAAAATGCATCGTCACGAGGAACGTAGAAGCTTGAACTTCTCTTCTCAGTAGATGGGTCTGGAAAACAAAAATTAATAAAAACAAAAGGTAATGTGATTTTAATATTGTTTCAGGTTACAAAATTGAGTTATTCAGTTGATATAATCTAAGTTAAGTTGAGATATCCAACAACATTAAAATATGAATCTAGCTAGTAAAATGAGAAAAAGTAACCTGAATCAGTGTGCTTTCGACCAGTTCGACACCTTCTTGGATATGGATATTGTTTGGAGGCACCAAGAACAGGTCTTTTGAGGTTAAGGTTAGAATCAGGATCTGCAAGATCATTGTAGACATCATAATCGTATATTTTGTCAGAGCTCTTGCGTTCTCCTTCTCCATTTCCTCTTAGTTGATTCAAGGCTTCTTCTCTCAACCTTCTCAATCCTCTTGGTGTTTGTGACGGCAAATATGACTATTATATATTCCACAAAATTACTGTCAAGTTTAAACCAAAGAAAGGAATGCACCTTATGACATGATTTTTCTAAAACTATTTTTTGGTAGGTGAAATTCATGAAGCTTAAAATGACATGTTTTTTTATACTAACCTTGTCAGTAAAGAATACTCTCTTGACAGGAGTGTGATGGTTTGGTTGAAGCCATGAATTACATGTGACATGCAAAGGGCCATCTGGGAAGCCATCCAACACTATGCTCTTCAAAAACATCTCCTTGCTGAGTTCATTTTCAACCAAAACAGCGCCCACTTTCCCGAACTCTTCTTCTAACTTAAACGTTGCCTCATACTGCACCTCATCATTCTCTTCTTTACTCTTCTGTGCATCACCTTTTTTTGTCTTTTTCTCTAACTTTGTTTCTTCGTTCGTCAAAAACAGACATAAAAAATTAATGTTTATAGATTTTTCTTACATATTATTCATATTTCTTTTATTTTTATGTCATTAAATACTGTTGGAGGATTTGGAAAAGAAAAATGAAGAATAGAGAGTCTGTTATTGAACTGAAGTGTAATGGAATGTTTATATACAAAGTGTATGAGAAAATAGTATATCAGAAAACAATAAAACTGTCTAAACTGAAAACTAGTAAGCTATTAAAGTTGTTTGACTTGACTTTCCAATAAATATTTAACTCCATATTTAGATTTCTAACAGTAAACTTTACAAACAGAAATAGGAGAAGTAATAAAAACTTACTCGAATCTAGATCATTGCTGAGAAGCTCCAAAACAAGAGTTTTCCCGATGAAGTGTTCAATCCCTTGAACACCACCTTCAACAAGATTTGTTAGGAGTCCACCACCACTTTGCTTCACGGTCACAGTGACCTTCACTTTCCTCCATTTAGGGTTGATGTTGGACATGCCACTTTTTTCCTCCATCACAGCTTTCACAAACCCTAAAAGAAAGTTTACCTTATAACTCAAGAACCGACAACTGTGAGTGCATTTATAGCTTAAAAACAAGGGAGAAAGTGCGCTATTTATAATGGAATCGATTTTTAATTAGCTTCATGTGTGCTGTTATTTCTGGGGGATATGGTGGTTCCCCCAACGTAACAAATACACCACCTACTGTATTAACTCTGAAACGTGCCTTTGGGCTTTCTCCTGCCTTCTAAAATGGACCCCTCAACAACCATGCTTACGTACAAAATTCAAATAAATAGCCATAAAAAGTAGGTTTTCCCTATTAGTAAGATAATGAATTACTTCACTCATCATTTGCCTGTTATTGATGACTTTGAATTCCCCTTTTTCGGTCACTATGAGTGTGGGTTTAAATTTCTCACATGCAATTTTCTTTTTCACACTTGGTAGATGTTTCTTTCCAGATAAATATGGCGAAACACTGTTGAGAAGACGTAATGAGTTGTATTATTTGCTATTTTAGTGTGTTTAGTAATTGTTCAGATCAGCTTTTGTTTACAATTAAAGTGTTTATTAGCGTCTTACACTTTGATATTAGAGTATTATAAATCATCGTTTTGTTGATTAAATATAATTGTCTTCTTCGACTTAGTCTTTCACGTATCAAAAAATAATTCTTAGAAAAAAATTAAAATGACTTTTATGTTGTTATTTCCTCAGCTAATGAATCGTTTTAAAATACGTTAGGTACGTTGGTTGAATTTATGTTTTTCTTTATCAACATTATAATTATTAGGTTAAATATAGCAAATATGATTATATTTTATTTTTAATATAAATAAAGAAAATAATTTGGATTTAATTTTAATTTGGTTAATTTTGTTTCAACTTAATTTATTGTTAATGGATAGTTATTAGTGAATAAAAATCAACAATTAATATTTTAAAAAATGATTAAAATTTATAAAATAACAAATTAAAAGTAAAGACTCCCTTTAAATTGCGTGCACAATATCATCAATTAGTGGTTATTAGTTTTTTTTCTAACAAAACACAATTAATTATTAATAAAGACCAAATATCTATCTAATTACTTTAATTATAAATGAAGTTTCAATAAAATTCAAATTTTCTGTACTAATTTTATTTTTATTATATTAAAAACGAAATATGCCAACATGTATTATACAGAAGAACCTATTTATTTATTTTAAAAGTATTTAAAATATTTTAAGAAAAAAAAAACTAACTAGAGAAGAATAAAATTAAAAGTAATATTAAAAATGATAAAATTAAAAAGAAGAAAATAAAAATTTTAAAAGAATTGTGTAAAAGACAAAGCATTTAAGAGAATTTAATAAGAATTTATATTTCCTTGTAAGGCTAAGTTAAGTTATAGACAAGTAAGGTCCCTCGTGTTAACAGGTATCACTGCTTAATAATTTTTAATAGTATTATAATAATCAAATCCAATTCCTGCTATATCTTATTTATGACTTACACGAGACAATTTCAAAGTAAGTAAACATCCAAACTTAAACTTTAATATCATTTTGACCAAATAGGCCTCTGATAGGAAAAAAAAAAATCAAAATTGAAGATTGTTTTCTCCTCTTTCGTGAATACTTAAATCTTCCAAATCGGATGAGTATAGTTTTAGTTATCACTTGCAGAAAATAGACACATGATATTAGGTAAAACATTGAAAATTAGTATTCTACTTAGTCTCATATTTAGTAATTTGGTTCTCTTTTTCTCTAAGCCAATCCATACATTTAGTAATTTGGTTCTCTTCTTCTAAGCCAATCCATATAACAAGTATTTCTCTAAACTTTGAAAATTATAATGTTTCTATAATTGAGAGAATCTTTAAAACGTTGGGAATATTTCTATTATAAGATAGGGGAAAATAAGGGTTTTAAAATAAAGTAATTTTGAGATTTTAGATTTTTGTTTGGAAATTAGTATTCTTAAGTGTATATTTTGTTAGAACATATATGTTATGTTATTTATATTTTTGTCTAAGGAGAAAATAGGCTTTTATCTTTATTTTGTTGGTGTTAAAATTAAATAAAGGTATGTAGGAAGTAAAAGAGTTTGAATTAAAATAAAAAGGATAGAAAACATGAGATAGAAGGGAATTAAGGTTTTAGATAGAGTTGGCTTTAAAAATACATATTATAATAAGAGATAAAATGTTAAAGATATAGTGGAGTTGAGTTATAAATATTACGATATAGAGGAAGGGCGAATGATGTTTAGAAATCCTAAAAACTCAAAATCAAAGAGAAAAACATAGGAGATAGACGTTTGCAAGAAAAGAAAAAGAACAATAGAAAACCTTTAGTGCAATGGAACATTGATGGTGTTTTGGAAGTATAGAAAAAGCCTTAGGATTGGCCAAGGTATGAGGAACCTTACCTATGTTTGTTTACTGTTGTATATTGTATGTGTTCTTGGTTATTCGGATTAATAATCCTTCTTTGATATATGTTTATATGATTATGATTATGGTTGTATGTTGTTATTGTTGGATAAGGGTTTGTGTATGCATGGGCATAAGATTTATGTAATACTTGTGTTGTGTTTTCCCTATGAATGTATTATGTATGTTTTGTTGGGTTATCCTGATACGCTATCGTTGAAACTATCAAATTAATATTACTTTTTAAGGCAACTTCATTATTGCCAAGTAGTATTAAAGAAACTAGATAGGGTTAAAGTAACCCTGAGTCGTCTCCCAACGAATACGCAATTGCTTGTCAATATTTGAATCTTATGAGTGCAATGCTCAAGAATAAAAGTGAGAAACTATGCTAATAGATTTAATGTAATGTTTGAAGAACAAAGAGGAAACTTAGAAACAATGATGAAATAGACTAATTCCACTGCTTTTCCAAGATATATTCATCATCGGTTAGCCAAAAATCATTGTTCAATTGATTATTGTTCAAGTTTCAAATTAATTAAAGTACATTCTTAATTAATTTAAGGATGATCATGCAGTTAACCAAAGTAGATTTTCAATCAAATGTAAGACCTTTCTAGATTATTCACAATGAATTCAACCAAAGTGCATTCTGAATCAAATTCTATTGTGTTTAATCATGTCTATTCTTAAATCTCCTAATCAAATTAAAAGGTAATTAATCAAAGTAAAGCCTCAATTAATTATAGTTGAAATTATTACCACCAATCAAAGTACATTCTCAATTGATAGCAAAAACCCGTTTAATGATATGAAAGTTCCTAAATTTAATCAAAGTAGATTCTCAACCAAACCTAGAAACCCTTGAACTCATATGATTAATATGCATGTAGATTCAAACACCTTATGATAAAAAATCATTGCTTTTAATATGATTGAGAGATGAAAGACATAGAAAGAGAGCAACTCAAATCAATAATCAAAAGAAACAATTGCATTAATTCAACTTAACCTCAAAATCCATAGTGAAATTACAGTGGAATAGCCCTAGAAGCTTAGCCTTCCATGAATGGAGTGAAACACATGATGAAATAAAAGTGAGAGAAGTGGTGGATGCTTGCTTCCCGTGGAGGAGTCTAAGAGAATGAATGAGTTATGTCTTTTTGCCTCCCCTGGGTCTCTTTATATAGGCTTGATTGGGCTTGGACTCTGAATCTTCTGTTGATAAAATCTTTTATCTTATATCTAATATATTCCAAATATTCAACATATTTAATCGGTTTTTAAGAATATTTGATAATATATTTTCTAGATTCAAAAATATTTGGCGAATATTATCTTTTGATATTTATTGATATAGTTAAATAAGGTAATTATTTAACAATCTCAAATAAAATATCTTAAGATATATTTTCTCCAAATTATCTTTTAAAATATCTAATAGATTTAAACTTGCCCAAAATTACAATTCAACCCTTTTTATTTTATTCAAAATTGCACAAAAGTCCAGAAATTTCCTCTAATTGCCCTTTAGTCTTTTTTTTCTTGTCAAAATTGCAATTCAAACTTTAATTCCAGCTGCACCAACAAACATTAGACTCTCCAAAATAATTTATGCATTTAAAATCAAATTTTAAGTCTCTCTAATTCCCAAACTCCGATAAAGCCAATCATGCAAAATCTTATTCAAATCAATCATTTAAGCACAATTATTCCTCTAAAATTTTGAAATTAAATCTAAAATGTGGGTATAAATATGCACTCATCATATCCCAACAAAGGGTTTGATGCTAAGAGAGAATAAAGTTATGATGCTCAGGAGTTTTCATGCAAATATATGTTGTAAGTGTTGAGTTATTGAGTTCCTTTCCTATGTGGAGAATAAGCCAAACAATGTGGACCATTATGTCTCACTTTGATTTAGTGGAGATGTGTTAGATTAGTAGGGCATATTAGAGTCATTTGAAGAGAGGGAAAAGCGAAGTGAGAGAGAAAGGAAGAGAAGACGTCATTCCCACATAACATAAAATCTACACTGGTGTTTTTGTTGTTATGAAGTCTTTCACCGTTGGACCAAACTTATTTTTGGACAATGGGTTCCAGACGTATGGTTCTTCATTCTGACTGCTCGGATTGTCAATCAGAGGTGTAGTTTGGGAGAAAGCAACCTCACATTAGTAGCTCTGTTTTGGAGAATTTTTTCATCATTGTGAAGTCGTTCATGGTTGGATCGGACTACTTTTTGGACAGTGAATTCCAGACTTATGGTTCTTCATTCTGACTATTCGAATTGTCAATCGGAGATGTAGTTTGGGAAAAAATAGCTTCACATCAGCAACTCTGTTTTGGAGAATTTTCATCTTCTTGGTTCTCATTTATAAGCATTATGCTTAGTTAATTTGGCTGATTGAAAACCTTATTTAGTGTATTTCTTGATTCAAGTGATGTATTAAATGTGTTTAAGTATGTTTACATGGGTATGTGATGCTTGAATGCATGTATGATGTGTTAATTATGTTTCCACGTGATCTAGGATTGATGTATGTATGTTTGAATGCTTGAATCATGTCCAGGATGTATTTCGGTTCGACAATAATAA